CAGGCAACCTTGAGGGCAGAGAGAAGATGTTCTTGAGCTTGGAACGCCAGTGAAATTGTTACTAGTTTCCATGTAGTCTATTTTGACTCCTGGTAACCCTGGGGTAGCACAGATCTTTAAGGACTTGCCTGTTAACCAGAGGTGATTGGTTCATATCCACCCAGAGGTGCTTCTGAAAGGTATTGGAAACCTTATGGAGCAGTTCTACTCTGATGAGTGTGGGTCTCTAGGAGAATGAGATTGTTGTTGTTGTTAGGTGCTCTCGAGTTGAGTACGACCCATACCAAACCTGTGAACAAGAGATCTGAACCCTGTCCTATCCTGTGCCATCGTCACACTTTCTGACACACTTGAGCCCATTGCAGCAGTCACTGTGTCAATCCACCTGGTCAAGGGTCTTCCTCTCCTTTGCCAACCCTTCACCTTTCCAAGTAGTATGTCCCTCTCTGAGGAATAGTCGCTCCTAGCAACATGCCCAGAGTATATGAGATGAAGTTTTATCATCTTTGTCTCTAAGGGGCACTCTGGCTGCACTTTTGCCAACACATACTTGTTTGTTCTTTTGACAGTCCATGGGATATCCAGCACTCTTCTCCAACACCACCGTTCAAAGGCATTCATTCTTCTATCGTCCTTATTCATTGTCCAGCTCTCAGAAGCATAGCAAGTGATCAGGAAGACCGTGGCCTGAAGCAGATGCACTTTAGTCCTCAAACTGCTCCTCAATAATGTGGAGAGGTCCCTGACTGCAGATTTTAGAGATGTCATACATCTCCTGATCTCCTGGTACCAAGGGATGAGATTAAAGGAGGACAAATTCCGTTCTAGTCTTCATTAAGAGCTAGAGAGATTAGGATTAGAGACTTCACTTGACAAAGAACAAAAGGGGAGAAGGGATAGTTTGTTGTATTTCACATGTTACTTGATGAGAATGGTGAAGAGAGAGAGAGAGAGAGAGGAATGTGTTGATAGTTTGCTTGAAAACAACTTTTCCTGGGCATGTTTTCTGGTTATAAAATGTACTTACTACATGCAAAGGAATGGAGCAGGAGAGACTTGGTCTTCTGGTAAAATACTATACAGCACTCAAAATTATTGTGATGTTTGTGTGTATAGCCTCTAGGTGGTACAAACAGTTAACAGGCTCACTAACAGCTAACTAAAAGGCTGAAAGTTTGAGTCCCCCCCAGAGGTGCCTTGGAAGAAAGGCCTGATGATCTACTCCTGAAAACCCCACCACCAGAAACCCTATGGAGCATCATTGCACTCTGACACACCTGGAGTTGCCAGCAGTCAAGGTCGATCTGATGGCACCAGTGACAGACAAGCATGGAGCTACAATATACATCAATGTGTATGAATCTCAAAAATCTTTCAAGATCAAAATCTTGACTCTTTCTTTGCCTCTTTCCTCACAGAACACTGTCCCCTGTGTGTCTCTGCGTCCTCCTCTCTTCTTACAGGAAAGCCAGTCATTAGACTTAGGCTCTGCCCAAACCAAGGCAATCTCACCTTGAACTTTACCTTAATTGTATCCACCAAAAAGGAGCCATGGCCATCAATGTGTATGAATCTTGAAATAATGTAGGGTTAAAAGCAACCTCCGTATGGGTAGACTCAACCTGACACCATTTTCAATGAAATTTAAGAACTTGCACCACTTCCTACATGAAGCCTTCCCTGATTGCCTTTGCTAGGCCCTAAGTCTCTCCTTCATGGAACCTGATGTTCAGTTGTGAAAACACTTGACTGTGACCTGTGTCAGGCTGTAGGCCTCGCTATGGCAACTACTGAACCTTCTTTTGTTCTCAACTGCATCCCCACTGCTTGCAAAGGGGTAGTGGGTACTCAGGAATACTTATGGGCTGCGTGGGAACCTTGGGTAAGCCACTTGACCTTGAAGCACCTTGGTTTCTTCCTCAATCAGACGGTCTATGAGTGTCCTGGGGCTTCCATAACAAATTACTACGATGTGGCTTAGAGCAAGAGGCCCTCACTGCTTTGGAGACCAGAAGACTGAATCTGTGGTGTCAGCAGGACCCTACGCCCCCTAGAGGTTCCGAGGGAAGATCCATCCTTACCATTTCCAGCTTCTGGTGGCTTCAGACATTCCTTGGCTGGTGGCCACATCTCTCCAGTCTCTGCCTCTTTCCTCACAGAACGCTCTCCCCTCTGTGTCCTCCTCTCTTCTTACAAGGAAGCCAGTCATTAGACTTAGGCTCTGCCCAGTCCAGGGCAGTCTCACCTTGAACGTTACCTTAATTGTATCTACTAAAAAGGAGCCATGACCATCAAGCTAGTTCGAACACACAGCAACACTCTAAGACAGGGTAGATCTGTCCCATGGGGTTTCTAAGGCTGTGATCTTTGTGGACGCAGCCGGCTCTGCCTTTCTTCTGCAGAAAAGCTGGTAGGTTCTCACCACTGTGAGGTCAGCCTTAAACACCCCCTGCCCCTGGCTTCTTAATTAGGACTCCAAAGATCTTCATTCCAAATGGGTCACATTCTGAGGTTCTTGGTAGACATGAATGATAGGGTGGTATTAATAAGTTCAGAATTCTCTATATAGGTATCAATTATAAAACTATAGTTTTCTCCAGCCTGCGGGACTGGTTACTTGACCTTGGAGTTCTTAGTGCCCTTTCTTTGATCTGTTTATCAGAAGAGGAGGTGTATCTCCTAGATTAGCTGTTATTGAAGCTGTTTTCCCCAATCATCTGTAAATTGTAACTTAATCTGCCTGTTTGCCTAGAAAGGGAATGTCTAGGGGTGAATGCTTTTCTTTCAGATATAGAAATTCTTTGATTTTACTAACAAAGTTATTGTTAAGTAAATTGTTGTCTCACCTTCCTATAAAAGCCCATGAGCATTCCCAGATGGGAGGCAGTCTTGGAGGTGACTGTCTCCCATATCTGTGTAATAAAGTGGTTATGGATATTGCAATCGGTTTGTCTTATGGGCGGTTGACTACAGAAAGAACCCCTTGTGTTCAGTAACATGAATTCTAGGGGGCACATGACTAGTGTGAACTGTTCAATACCTGGTTCCTGACTGTGGTGACAACTACTTGGATCTTCTGTGCTTGTGATTAAACCCCAGACCTGGTGCCCCCGCGTTGCATCTTTCAGGATGGACTGCCCGCTGCTCACTCAGCAAGGCTCCTCTGTTGAATGTTGCCACCTTGAGTTTGCAGTGATCCAACTCGACCCAAACTTGCTACTGTTAATTCCAACTCAGGATGACCCTCCGGTGGGTCTCTGAAGCTGTGAATGACAGTGGGAGGCGGAATGGCTGGTGAGTTCAAACCGCTGGTCTTTTAGTTGACAGCAGGCAATGCACTCCATCAGGGATCTCTGGTGGCCAAGTGGTAAGAAGCTGTGCTGCAATCACAAAGGCACACAGTTCAAATCTACCAGCCGTTTTGAGGGAGAAGTTTGGACAATATCCTCCTGTGCGACTTATGCCTCTGAAAACCCTCTGGAGGGCAAGCTCTGGGTCAGTTCTGACTCAGCAGCACACTACCAGGCACACCACCACCACCGCATTACGTCACCAGAGCCCCTTGCAGTCGTCCTTTTAAGCAGTGCTGATGGGCTTCTTTAAAAGGGAACGCTGGTGGCCTGGTCTGTAGAGAGTTGTGTTATTAACAGAAAGGCTGTGCCTCTCTGGTGGGAGAAGGACAGGCACCCTCCTTCTGTGCAGTTTATAGTCTCGGGAACCCAAGAGACTGTCAGCTATCAGACAACAGTGAGAGAAAATGTATCTGTTGCAGACTGAGGGTATTTTTATAATTATTAAGAATGAGATAGAACAGAGTGAATAAAGACAAAGGGGCCCATTCCAGCTTCCCTGTATCTTTATTGACAGTTATCAGGAAGTAAATCACAAAGAGAATTCAATGCAAATGAAGCCAAGCTCTTTCTATTGAAAACCTTTTGCTTGACTCAGGAGGGAGGGGTCAGCAAATACACTGGAAGAATCCACTAAACCCTTAAGGATTGCCTTAGTGCCTCAGAGTCAACTCTGGCCTCCCCTACATCCTGAAATAGCATTCGGTTTGTTACAAAGTCTTAATATTGGCTTCTCATAGGTATCCTTAGCAACTCAGTGGATTGACGCAGTGCCTGGAGCAATGGATTTCAACACAGTAGAGATTATGAGGGTGGTTCAGGTGCAGGAAGGATTTCCTTCTTACTGCCTAGCAAACAAATTCTGTGCTATTTTGGCCAAGTAGGGAATGAACAATTGTGCCCCACTCAAAGATGGCAACCTACCAAGCTGTTCTGAGTATGTATCATCCTGCCAAGAATGTTCTCTAAAAGTCCTTCACAGTCCTTCCTCCTGAAAGTTTCAGGAGGAGACTCTGGAGAGCAAAGTGATGCTGTAGGCTGCCATCTTTGGTGGGCCACAGATGTTTGTTTCCTACTCGATCAAAATACCAGGGCGGCAGATTCGATTGCTATTGATGATCCTTGTTTACAGTGGCAGCTACTGAATGGATTTGAAGCCCAGTTTGTGTCCCCATCATTCCACTGTCTGCCTTTATCTTTATATGGTCTTCTCTCTGTGGGTGTCTCTCTCTGTCTCTCTGTCTTCTCTCCTCTTTCATAAGACACTAGTCACATCAGGTCCTACCCTAGTCCACTATGACTTCAATAACTTCATTGCTAACATCTGCAAACAAAATCTCCAATTTCTGCAGGCAAGGTTATGCTCAGAGACCAGAGGTAGGACTTTGCTGTGTTTTCTGGAGAGGGGTCATAGTTCAGGATATAACAGGGAGCAAGGAGAACTGAGCTCATCTAGCATTTCTTTTACTTGCTGTGTGGCCTTGGACCACACACGCAACCCCTCTGAGCCTCGGCTCTCTGTTTGGAAAGGGTGAGACTGCTCAGCATGGGCACAGGCCCTGATGTCAGACTGACCTGTGGAGGCAGGGGAGGAAAGTGTGTCCAGCACCCTGATGGCTGATGATTGGGGACCCCTCTTGTGTTCCCCAGGATCGGTCGAGCTCTCCCGGCGCCACCCCATCGCGTCCTGGCTCTGTGCCATGCTGCACTGCTTCGGGAGCTACATCCTGGCTGACCTCCTGCTCGGGGAGCCCATCATCGACTACTTCAGCAACAACTCCAGTGTCCTGCTGGCATCAGCAGTGTGGTGAGTGGCCACGGTGGGGACAGGGAGAGCAGGGCTGGCGGGGAGTAGAGGGTGTCACACGTGCCAGGTGTCCCAGAAGCATGAGGAACTGGGATCCAGCACACCAACCATGGGTCACCCTGCCCAAGTTCTGTCCCATGTCCTTGCATACGATGGAGAATGTTCTGGACAATCTCCAACAGATCTGTGAGGTAGGAGAGGGCTGCAGCATGAGACAGAGGAGTCAGGACAGCCATGAAGGGTTTTGCTCATGTGTGTTCTCAGGGTATATATGCATTTAGGAGTCCTGATAGCACAAGCAGTCAACTCTGTTCTTTTAGTTAGCTCAGCTATTACCCAGAAGACTGGTGGTTCAAATCCACCTAGTACCACCGTGGAAAAAGGCCTGGCGATCTGCTTCCATAAAGATTATTGTTGTTGTTGTTCTGTGTACTGTAGAGTCAGAACTGACCCCTAGCTGACCCTCTGGAGGGTTTTCAGAGGCAGTAAATCATACTGGAGACGATTGCCCATCCATTTCCCGTAAAGTAGCGGCTGGCCTCAAACTGCGTGCCTTTGGGATTACAGTGCAATTTCTTTTTTTTTTTTAAATATTTTATTTTATTGTTTGTGTGTGTGTGTGTGTACCATCAAATCAGATCTGATTGGTAGAGGAGGAAATTGTTCCTCCTTCTTCAGCAGAGCATCTGGTGGATTTGAACCATGCACCTCTGGGATTGCAGTGCAGCTTCTTGCCACTAGGCCACCAGAGCTCGCCAACAGTGCAATTTCTTGCCACTAGGCCACCAGAGACTGTTTTGCGCTGTCACATGGGCTCTCTATGAGGCAGAGTGAACTCGGTAGCACCTAAGAGTAGCATAGACTCTAGATGCAAGTTGTGGTTCTGCTGTTCCCTCAGACTGATCTGGGTTTCTATGTACCTGTCACGGTATATGCATTTCGGCTCTGTAAGGGTGAGTCTAGTGCTTAAAGGTGGGGTTTTTCATGCAAGATCCCTGGGTGGTACAAAAGGCTTGTGCTCAGCTGCTAACTTAAAGATTGACAGTGTAAACCCATCCTGAGGAGCCAAGGAGTAAAGGCCTGGTGATCTGCTTCTGTACTGATTATAAACGAGAAAACCCCGTGGAGCCCGTCTAACATACCACAGCGGGACTGCCGTGAGTTGAAATCAACTCACAGCAATTAACAGCAGCAACAACAGGTTTGTTATACTCAATGGGTCCCAACGACAGGAAGGCCTAATATGCCGTAAGGTGGGGCTGCACCTGGGGATAAGGTGACAACAAGCTGGAATTGTAGGTGATGCTTGTTTGGTGAGCAGAGTGGGGTTAGCTAGGTCACAGGGACTTCTTGGGGAGTGGGTGCACCAGATAATTCCACAGGGTCCAGGGCTGGCCCTGGCTTTCAGTACCTGGTTTCAGGTTGATTGGAGCAGGGATGTGAGAGCCCAATAAGGGGAGTTTTTGTAGGGGAGTGGGCTTAATCAGCCTCTCACGAAAGGGTCTGTGGGTGGTGCAAATAGTTGCTAACTAAGAATTCATAGTTCAGGTCCCTCCAACTGTGCCACCAAAGAAAGATCTGGCAACCTACTTCCATAAAGATAGTTTTTATTAGTGGTCATCAAGTCAGTGCTGACTCCTGATGACCTAGTGTAAGCACTGATCCATTGGATTTTTTAAAATTTATTATTAATTTCAGTAAAAATTTACAGAGACTTTGGATTTCCATTCATTCATTGTTGCACTTTTCTCCCCTCCCAACCCTTCCCCCTAGTACACTACCCTCTTGGAAAAGTAAAAGAAAAATTCTTTCATTGTTTTACAATCCCTCCCCCCAAGTCCACTCCACCATGTAGCCTTTGCTCTGGACTCCTGTCATGACAAAAATACCTAATCACATGTCCCTTTTAAACAGTTTTCTCCCTCATCTGTTTCAATGCATTATACATTATTGAACCCATCTTTCTCAGTCTCCCCCCAACCCCAAGGTCAGTCCTGTTATAGAACAGTGGCACCATGCAGTACTTGTCCTTTTGTGACTGAGATACTTCACTCAGCATAATGTCCTCCAGGGTCACCCATTTTGAATAATATTGCATGAGTTCCTTGTTTTTCAATGCAGCATAGTATTCCATTGTGTGAATATACCAGAGCTTCTCTATCCATTCGTTTGTTGATGGGCCCTTAGGTTGTTTCCATCTTCTTGTTATTGTGAACAAAGCCGCAATAAACATGGGTGTGCGTATATCTGCTTGGATGCCAGTTATGGTCTCCTTGGGGTATATTCCCAGTAGTGGAATTGCTGGGTCAAATGGTATGTCTGTTTGTAACTTTTTGAGAAAGCTCCATGCCGCCTTCCACAGTGGTTGCACCGATCCATTGGATTTTTAAGGCAGTGACCTTTTAGTGACCTAGGCCTGTCTTCTGAGGCAATGCTGGGTGGGTTCAGACAGCCAATCTTCCAGCTAGTAGCTAACTGCTTAACCTTTTGTGCCAGCCAGAGATTGTTCCATAAAGACTAGAAACCCAAACCCAATTGTCAACTCATAGTGATCAGCTTTCCAAGTCTCCCTGGGAGGAGACTGCCACCTTTTCCCCACAGTGTCTAATGGATTTGAACCACTGACTTCAGGTAGCAGTGTGAGATGTTATATAGTACACTCCCATGGCTTCTTTTGCAAAGATTACAGTCAGGAAAAGCCCGTGGAGCGATTCTCCTCTGCAAGACTAGCCTCCAGCCAGGGCCTTAAAACTGTGTCCACCCAGCTTTTAAGGAAAATGGAATTGTGGGCACAGCCTCTCCTCCCAGGGCTCCTTCCGCTCCCCAGCATGGCATTCTCTCCCCAAAGGTACTTGATCTTCTTCTGCCCCCTGGACCTCTTCTACAAGTGCGTCTGCTTCCTGCCCGTGAAGCTCATCTTCGTGGCCATGAAGGAGGTGGTGAGGGTCCGCAAGATTGCGGTGGGCATCCACCACGCACACCATCACTACCACCATGGCTGGTTTGTCATGATCGCCACCGGCTGGGTCAAAGGTATGTAAAATGGCAGCAGTGAAAATTCCCATTGGGGACCCTTACCCCAGTGATACAGCAGGCCCCCCATCAGCACTGTCATTACTCCAGGCTGGGAGATTCCCCATCACCATCCACGTCTCCTCATTAGCCAATGACATTGGGATACATGGGAAGAAGCTTCCAGAAATGTAATCACCACAGATAAATAGAACAATAGTGACCATAACAATAGCTGAGGTCTCCAGGGCAGGGTTTTTTAGCTACAGAAATGCTAGTATTTCGGCCTGTTTTCACTACCTAATTGAAAGTTTGGTATGGGAATCCAGTCAGTGGTCTCACGGAAGAAAAGTCTGGCAATCTATTTCCATAAGAGTTCCAGCCAAGAAAACCCCACAGAGCTCTGCTCTGACATGCATGGGGTCACAATGAGGCAGAATCTGCTTCCTGGTGACTGGCTAGGTCCCTGAGTAGTACTAATGGTTTGCACACAGCTGTTAACCAAGCTCTGGTGGCATAGTGCTAAGAAACTGTGCTACCAACCTGAGAGCATGTAGTTCAAATCCACTAGTTGCTCCATGGAACAGAGATGGGCAGTCAACTCCTGTGTGATTTACTACCTTTGAAAACCTGCCGGAGGGCCAGCTGTGAGTCAGTCTCGACTTCATGCTGTACTGCATTAACCTAGAAGGGAGCTCTGGGGGCTTAGTGGCAAGGAATTGCACTGGCAATACAAAGGTACATGGTTTGAATCCACCAGGTGCTCCATGGGAGAAAGATGGGCAGTGTCCACCTCATGTGATTTGCTGCCTCTGAAAACCTGCTGGAGGGTCAGCTATGGCTTGGTTCCAACTTGACTGCAAACAACAATATTAATCTAAAGACCGGTGATTTGACTCACCCAGCAGGGCCGTCGAAGAAAGGCCTGGCAACTGCTTCTGACAGGGCACAGGCTGGAAAGCCCTATGCAGCATCATTCTCTCTTCACACAAAGGGTCATCAGGAGTCAGGCTTGACTCAACAGCAACTGGTTAGGTCCCTGGGTGGCAAAGTGCCTTTGGTTTGACTATTAACCTAACGATTGGTGGTTCGAACCCATCCAGTGGTACCATGAGAAAAAGCCCTGACATTCTGCTGTTAAGAAGACTACAGCCAGCAAAGCCCCATGCAGCTCAGTTCTAGACTGTGGAACAGGGGGCTGCATCCATTCAACAGCCAAAAGTTTTGGTTTGGACTCGGTCTTGGATACCCGGGGTGCTGTGACCACAATACCAAACAAAACTAACAAGCAAGCTGACTTTAAAGAAAAGGGGTTTATTGTCTCATAGTTTTGGAGGCTGAAAGTCCAACTCCACAGATTAACATGAGAAAGTTGTTAGGTGCCATCAAGTCTCCTGTGACTCATAGTGACCCTGTGTACAACAGCTCTGAACCCTGCCCTGTCCTGAACCTGTCTCACTGATTCTGACACACTTGCCCCCATTGCCCCGATTACTGTATCAACCCATCTCATCTGGGGTCTTCCTCTCCTGCATAGTCCCTCCACCCTTCCAAGCATGATGTCCTTTTCTATAGACAGGTCCTTTCTGGCCACGTGCCCAAAGTATGTGAGATAGAGTTTCAAAATCCTTACCTCCAAGGAGAAACTTGGTTTCACTCTCTCCAAGACAGACCTATTTATTCTCCTTGTGGTCTATGGTATGTTCAAGATGCTCCTCTAGCATCACAACTCAAAGGCCTCGATTCTTCTGTCATCCTTAGCCATCGTCTGGCTCTCTGATGCATATAGCAAGTAATTGTAAAGACCATGGCCTGGGTCAGACGCACCTATGTCTCTAGACTGACATCACTGTTTTTAGCACTTTGGCGAGGTCCTTGGGTAACATCTATCTCCACCCAGCCGTGTGTGTGTGTATGTGTGTGTGTGTGTGTGTGTGTGTGTGTGAGCACTTTGGCGAGGTCCTTGGGTAACATCTATCTCCACCCAGCCCAGAGTGTGTGTGTGTGTGTGTGTGTGTGTGTGTGTGTGTGTGTGTGTGTGTGTATGGCATGTGCTGTTCTTCCCATAAAATACTATTCAGAAGTGGTTCCTTTTAGGATCAAACCCACACTGAGAGGACCTTATTAATGTCCCAAAGTCTTGTTCCTAATGGGAACCACACCTTCAACTATGCTGTTGTGAGTTACCATCAAGTCAGCCATCTGTGTCAGAGGAGAACTGCTCCTTAAAGTTTCACATTCACAGGCTGTGACCTTCCAGAAACGGGTTGCCTGGCCTTTATCCCAAGGCATCTTTAGTTGGGTCTGAGTCATCAAACCTTGGACCGTTTGCATCACTCTGACCCACACTTAAAGGGTTAGGATCTCTCAGATATTTATAAACAAACAAACAAACTCATTCCTCTAGAGTCCGTTCCAGTTCACAACAACCCTACAGACACAGTAGGCCTTCCCCATCAGGGTTCCCTGGGCCATAGACCTCTGTGGAAGCAGATTTCCACATCTTTTACCCAAGGAGCAGCTCGTGGATTTGAACTGTTGACCTGTCAGCTGAGCCCAGCACTGTTCCGTCACAGCTCCTACCCATATCTTGAGGGGACACAATTCAGTCCAGACACCCCTTCATGCTGATTCTGCTCTGAATATGCCATAAGACCCTCTGAGCCTCAGTTTCCCCACCAACACCTGGTGACCTCACACACCCAGGCTGCACATCCCTGAGGGAAAGCCCTGGGAGTGGAAGGTTGTTCCTTGGGAACCCCCAGTTTGGTGGCTTCTTCATATGTCCCCTGCCTGTAGGCTCTGGAGTCGCTCTCATGTCCAATGTTGAGCAGCTGTTCCGAGGTGTCTGGAAGCCAGAGGCCAACGAGATCCTGCACATGTCCTTGTGAGTAGACACACCCACATGCCTGTGTTTGGGGCACCTTGAGCTTGACCTTGAGCTTCAGTTTAAGAAAGGCAAGGCTGGGGGAACCTGGAGCAGGGCCCTGGCCCCAGGGCAGGGATGGGCAGGGCTATGAGGGGAGATGGCACCAGACTGGCGTTTTTGAAGCAAAAGCAGGACATTCTGCAGGCAAGGAGCCGTGAGACCTCAAGTCAGAAAAGGGAAGAAAGAGACCCAGCTCATGGGGGCGAGGGTGGGAGGGTGGGGTGCAGAGAGTGTGACTGGGTGGGGAGCAAGAGTGTGGAGTGAGCATGGAGTGAGGTGGTGGGAGCATGGGACTGTGGGGTTGGGAGTGTGGATGGGAGTTTGGAGTCTGCCTAGAACATAGTGGGGTGTGGGAGAGGGAGCTAAGGTGAGGAACAGTGAGCAGGCCAAGTGCCACATCCAGGACCCAAGCCAGGAGACCCCCCATGACATTTTCTCACCATCATCGAGCCGCTCCCAACCCATCGTGACCCTCCATGGGGGGTTTCTGAGGCTGTAAATAGCAATGGGAGGAGAAAACGCACCTTTCCCCCCATGGAGCCTGTGATGTGTTCACAGAGCCGGAGTCACGCAGCCTTCCTGTAAGCAGCGCGACTCAGTCCAGGCTGTGCCGCCGGAGCGCACATGTTTCTGAAAGACATTTTGGATCTGGGCTGCTTGTGTTTTCCCCAATGCTCAGTTTTCCTCAATGAAATGAAGAGATAGCATTAAAGCATGACAGAGTTAAGGGGCTCACCCTATACCAGGGCGTAGGCTCCTGGCTCACAATGAAGAAAGCAAGAGGAATCTCATTTCCTCCCTGTGACAGATCTGCCTGCCCTCAGCCCCAAGGTGAGGACACGGACCCAGAGTGGTTATGTCACTTGCTAGAAAGTGGGCAGAAGGTTTTCCTCTCGGGCTATTTCTGCCTCGCTGGTGGGGCTAGAGGGTCAGTGGACCAGGCACGTGAAACACTGGGCTCATGTAGTGCCAGCAAGGGCTGTGCAACCTCCAGCTACACTGTCATCGAGAAGGAGGTGCTGTGGGAGAGGCACACATCGAGAGGCCAGGGACCCAGGTCTGTGTTCTATGACAAGAGGAAATGTTGTAAACGTGGTCTTTGAGGAAGGAAGGGGACGTGAAGGAAAACACTGAGTGTTGTCAACACACCGCCTGCGGACAGCACTGTTTCGGGGCCCCAAAGATCACCCATTACATGTGGACTTTACACATGGACCTCACCTGACCGTCTGCACAGGAATCAGATTGACTGTATCTGTGGAAAGAATTGTTGAAGCTCAGTATCAGTAGTCAGACCCAGGCCAGATGCTGCCTGTGGATCAGACTGTCAATGACTCACATGCAAGTTCAAATTGAAGCTGAGGAGATGAAAACAAATCCAAAAGAAGCAAAATATGATCTTGAATCTACTCCACCCGAAATTTTAAAAAATCATATTAAGAACGGAGTTGAGGCATTGATCGCCTGTGACTGAAGACTAGAAGGGCTGTGGAATGAAACCAAGGATTTCCATGGAGAGAGCAAAAGGTCATTACTGAGACACAGGAGAAAGAGAAAGCCAAACTGGGTGTCAGAAGAAACTATGAAAACTGCATTAGGACATCAAGGAGCCAAAACAAAAGGAAGGGATACTAATGTGAAAGAACTGAACAGAAGATTTCAAAGGGCAGCTTGAGAAGACAAAGCAAAGTATGATAACAAAATGTACAAAGAGCTGGAGCCAGAGAATAAAAAGGGAAGAACTCACTTAACATATCTCAAGCTGAAAGAACTGAAAAACAAACCTGAGTCTCTAGCCTGCTGTCAGAGACCTCTCCAAAGTACTGGAGGGCAATGATATCAGTCTGGAGACTAAGGTGCACCTGAGCCAGTCTTTGCAATTACTTGCTATGCATCAGAAAGCTGGACAATGACTAGGGATGATAGAAGGAGAATTGATCCTTTGAGCTGTGGTGCTGGAGAAGAGTGTTGAATATACCATGGATGGCTAGCAGAATAAACAGGATCATCCTGGAGAGGGTGAAACCAGGCTGCCCTTGAAGGCAAGGATTCTGAAGCTTTGTCTGACATAATTTGGACATGTTGCAAGGCAGGACTAATCCTTTGAGAAGGACGTTATGCTTGTGAAGGTGGAGGGACAGTGCAAGAGAGGAAGACCGTCAATGAGATGGATTGATTCAGTGACTGGGGTAACGGGGGTAGGTATGTCAGAGACAATAAGATTGGTACAAGATAGAGCAGGGTTTAGGGCTGTTGTATATAGGGTTGCTATGAGTTGCAGGTGACTCAATGACACATAACAACAACAACAACAACAGTTTCAATATTGAGAGATGCCATGGCCCAAATCTTGAATGAGCCAAGAAGCATCCGAAGAAGTTGGAGAGGTGCAACAGTTCTTAAACTTACTACATACCTAGGGAGGGACTAATCAGTCGCATAAGGGCAAATACTGCCTAAGACCATTATTGTAAAAATAGAGGTAACTAGTAAAACAAGTATGGGGACCCAAAGGGGGAAGAGGTGGAAGCAGAGGGGTGAAACCACAGAGCACAGTTTGGTGGGTGAGGGAAATGGGTAGAATCTGGCAGGACCTGAAAAGACAGGGTAATGTTGGGCAAGGTCCAATGTTGGTTAATTTTATAAAATATAATGCATGGGAATGATTGTATGAAACACAATGTGAATGAAGAATAGTGTGAAACACAGTATTTATGAATTTTGTAAGCAAATAAATATAACATTTTAAAATTTTTTTAAGAGAGAAGATGGAATACACAGAATCACTATACCATAAAAAATTAGTTAACTGACACTGAAAATTTTCACGAAGCAAAGCACCATATGAAAAAGAGCCAGGGAGCTCTGGTGGCCTAGTGGCAAGAAGCTGCACTGCAATCCTAGAGGTACACGGTTCAAATCCACCAGGTACTCTACTGGAGAAGGAGGGGCAATCTCCTCCTGTACCAGTCAGATTCTATTTGACAGTACACTCATCATCATCATCATCATCATCAAAAGTGCCAAAGATAATGAAGGGTGAAATTCAAGCTGCACTGAAGGCATTGGCAAAAAATAAGGCCCCAGGAATCAATGAAATACCAGTTGACATGTTTCAACAAATGGCTGTAGCCCTGGATATGCTCACTAACCTATGATAAAAATTTTGGAAGACAGCTTACCTGGCCAACTGATTGGAAGAGATCCACATTTGTTCAGATTCCCAAGGAAAAAATTATCCAACTGAATATGGAAATTAAAAAAAATATCATTAATATCACATACAAGGAAAATATTGCTGAAGATCATCCAAAAATTACTGGAACATTACATTGACAGGGAACTGCCAGAACTTCAAGATGGATTTAGAAGAGGCCGTTGTTTATGTCAAATAGATCCTGGCTGAAAGCAGTGGATATCAGATGTCTGCCTGTGTTTTATTGACTATACAAAGACATTTGACTGTGTAGAGCACAACAAACTATGGCTAACATTGAGAAGAATGGTAATCCCAGAACACTTTATTATACTCATACAAAATCTATATCCAGACCAAGAAGCTGTTGTCCAAATGGTTGAAAATGAGGAAGGGTGTACATCAGTATCTGTTCTCTATACCTGCTCAATCTTTATGGTGACACTCTGTGAAGAAGAATGTGGCATCAGGATCAGAGGAAGACTCCTCAACAATCTGCACTGTGCAAATGACATAACTTTGCTTGGTAAAAGCAAAGAGGCCTGAAGCTCTTGTTGCAGAAAATAAAAGAATACAGCTTTCAGTATGGATTGCATCTCAACATCAAGAAGACAAAGATCTTTACCACTGAGCCAGTTGGCAACATCATAATAGGTAGTGAAAGGATTGAAACAGTTAATGATTTCATATTGCTTGCTTGGATCCACAATCAACATCTTTGGTACCAGCAATCAAGGGATAAGGAGACATACTGCTTTGGGCAAGTCTGCTGTCAGGAATGGCTCCAGAATGCTGAAGAGCAATGATGTCAGTTTGAAGACTGAGGTGAATCTGATTCAGGCTGTGGTCTTTTCAGTTGTTTGCTATGCATGTGAGAGCGGGATTATGAATAAGGATGACAGAAGAAGAATGGGATGCCTTTGAGTTGTGGTGTTGGAGAAGAGCGCTGAATGTCCTATGTTGTTGTTGTTGTTGTGTACTGTAGAGTCGGAGCTGACTCATAGCTGACCCTCTGGTGGGTTTTCAGAGGCAGGTAATAGCATGGGAGGAGATTGCCCATTCTTCTCTCACGAAGCAGCTGGTGGCCTCGACCTGGTCACCTTCTAATTGCAGCTCAGCTTCTTGCCACTAGGTCACCAGAGCTCTCAGATATCCTATAGACTGACAAAAGAATGAACTGGTGTATGTCTTGGAAAAGGTGCAGTCAGAGTCTCCTTGGAGGCAAGGATGGCAAAGCTTCATCTCTCATACTTAGGGCATGTTGCAAGGAGAGGCTGTTCCTTGGAAAAGGCTATCATGCTTGGAAAGGTGGAGGGTCAGAGAGAGAGAGAGGAAGACCCCCAATGAGATGGATTGACAGGGTGACTGCAGCAAGGGGCTCAGGTGTATCAGAGATGGTGGGTGAGGACGGCACAGGGTAGGATGGGGTGCAGATCTATTGACTTGAGGGAACCTAAAAACAACAACAACAACAAGACAACCCTGATGTCAGAAGACTCAGAAGAAGGATGCTCAGTATTCAGAAAAGCCATGACATCAAGTTCCAGCTTGTTACATCAGGAGGACACAAACTAGAATGGGCGAGTGGGAGAAGTGTGGGGCACAGGGTCCAGGAGTGAGAGCGTGAGTGCCTGGTGTCCTCTCTGCATGAGGTCGTGGATGGTGCTTACTTCTCCCAGTGCCCGTGTGTGATGACATCACACTTGGGGTCCTGCCCACCAGGCGTGCTGCCACGAGTCCTTGTGTCCAGGCTGCTTCCTGGGGTCGGTCACATGAGCACGGCTAGCCTCAGTTTCCAGCTCCTCTAGGGGTTGGACTGATATCGTGGTGGCCCAGGGACCCCACCATGAGTCCCACTGTTGGCATGGACAGTGTGGAGTGGCCCCAGGTCCCAGCAAACAAAGAAATCCTGATCAGACAGGACATTGATTCCAAGGACGTGGGGACCACTTTCTGGAATTCAGTGGCAAAGGCCAGGCTTCTCCTTGGTACGGTTAGCCCTTTCTGGGGCTCTGCTGACGTACTTCGTGGTGTCCAGTGAGTTGTGCTGTTCACCTAAAGGCCGAGCACCTCTGACAGTTGGAATCCAGTCTCCTCCCGTTACAATCTACAGCTCAAGACATTAGATGGAGGAACTGAATTGGGAGCATGAGCTGAGATGAGTTGAGCCGCCACCTCTTCCAAGCCACCAGTGTGTTCCCACCTCCCAGTCAGGAGAAGCCAGGGTGGGAGTGGGGAGGGCTCCTCTGGACCAGGGACTCCCCCAGCCCCTGCAGAGCTTTGATCAACCATGCCTTCCCCTCCAGCCCCACCAAAGCCAGCCTGTACGGAGCCGTGCTCTTCACCCTCCAGCAGACACGCTGGCTCCCCATCTCCAAAGCCAGCCTCATCTTCATCTTCACCATGTTCATGGTGTCTTGCAAGGTAGGTCTCCTCCCCCGGGGGCAGGGCTAGGAGAGGGGCTCACGATGGTCACTTCCGGTCAAGGGTGGACAAGGAGGTGCAGGTTTTTTCCTGTGGATGGTGCTGGTGGGTCTGAGACAAGCAGGTGGGGATAGACTAGGGAAGGGAGCAGCGCTCCAAGAGAGGGCCCTGCCTTGGGAGTGCCAGGTGTATGCGAGAGACTGGAGGAGTTGGAGCCTTGGGTCTCAGCGGGCAGAAGAAATGCAAAGGGAGTCGGAAAATGCCCCAATAGACCAGGGATGGTTCTGGTCCATGCTTGGCCTTGAACTTGATCCTCACTGCATATCTGAACCCCAATCCAGCTTGAGATGAACGGCTCCAGAGCAGAGTATGTCCCCCTGATGTAAACTGATTTCAGGGGAAGAAGGGAACAGAGTCTAAATCCTGTTGTACCCTTTGTGCTGTGCAACCCTAGACCATATCCTGAACTTCTCTGAGCCCAGTGGAAACCAATTGGGAGGAAGGAGAAAGGAGGGAGGAAGGGGAGTGACAGGTGTCCTGATCCTGGCTTTAGCATCAGAAATCCAGGAACCCAGGGCTCCTGCCTCCTGGGGCATGCAGCTGGAGTTCTGGTCAGGCCACCTCTGCTCCTTGACTCTGCTGACCTCTGTCCTCTCTTCTGCCCCCTTTAGGTGTTCCTGACAGCCACCCACTCCCACGGCTCCCCCTTTGACGTCCTGGAGGGCTACATCTGTCCTGTGCTGTTTGGGGCAGCCTCAGGGGGTGACCATCACCATGATAACCACGGAGGCCATGGAGGGGGACACGGGGGTGCCCATGGTGGCAGCCCAAGTGCCCTGCACTCACCCCTGCCCTCTAAGTCCAAGGAGGAGCTGAGTGAGGGCTCCAGGAAGAAGAAGGCCAAGAAAGCAGATTAGGGGGCATCCCGGGGGCCATGGGCACCAAGGAGGGGAAGCTCAGACCCCACTCACCCACTCTGGACCCTGACTCCGTGTCTGCAAACTGGGGCCATCCACTTACTATCTACGGCTGAATAAGATACAAATGTATAGAAATGGGATACCCCTCTCTCTGCCAGGCTCCCTGCAAAGCCCTAGCTTTCAGGGGGCCACACAGAACTCAGCAGCAGCTCCACCCAAAAAGCTGCTGCCATTTTCATCGTTCTACTTCCCCTTCCTTGAAGTTCTATCTTGACTCAATTTTCAGGGAGTCCTCTATTTGATGGACATTTCCCAAGTCCCCTCAGTGTCCCGGCCCTGCCAGCAGCATGGAGGCCTTGGCACAATTTTGGTGTCTCTTGCCTGGGCTCCACCGGGCCCAGATGATTTCTTTCACTGTGTCCAGAAAGTCCCAGCCGTCGTCGCTGGGCATCCCCAGGGGAGCTGACACCCTCTCTGAACCTCCTGCTGCTCCTCTGTGCAGAGGCTCCCACCCACTCTGTCCAGAGGGGCTGCTGATTGGCTGTGAAAATGCTCCTTCAGCTCATAGATGAGGCCAGTCAGGAAGGATTGTTAATCATGATTGAAAACAGCTTTGCATGATCGTTTGCATTAGGGACTGGAGAGCCCGCCAGCAACTCAATTAGAAGACACATCTAAACAGGGCTCGAGAGTGTGGAGCATGGGACAGCTCTTTCTGACTCTTGGTTGCTCTTGGTCCCAACAAGTGCTGCGGGCGGGGCTGGTGGTCTAAGGCCAGGGTCAGGCCTCCCTCATGCTGGCTGTCATCACTGTTGGTCTGTTAGTCACTCAGCAAACATCCTGATACCTGCTCCATGCCAAGCCTTGTGCTGCTGGGTGGGCCAGGATTTTACTTAGGCTGAGCAAGAGGGTGGTCCTTGGCTTCCTGGAGATGGAGTTGGGCACTCCAGTCTCAGGTGGGCGGTGGGCTTAGGGCTATAAATGGGTGCTCAGGGCCTCTGCCAGAAGCTGGGGTGCAGCCTGGGAATTAGCACAGGGTTGGGGGTTGGCCAAAGCTTGGTGGTGATGCTGGGGGTCATCCATCTGTTGGGAAAGTGCCTTCTTCTGGGTGATGGCCCAGCAGCTGCGTGGGTTCTGCTGCTGTCACGCTCCCAGGTTCACCCCCTTGCATGGCCGTGAGGGGCAGCAAATAAACCCGCTGTGAATGAAGCCTGGTGCTGGTCTGATTTGTTTTTCCACTAGAAGGTCATGGGCAGGTCTGTATCCCAGGTACTCAGCTTCCACCGAGGTGATCCTCAAGGTAGCAGCCTTGGATTATGGGGGCAGATGGTCCCAGGGGGAGAAGGCTGGGGAGAGGTTGGGATCAGGTGGACCTGAATTCAAATCTTGGGGTCTTAGGGCAAGATCAGATCCTCAAGAACTTCACAGAGTGGAATTATCAGACTCTCTAAAGAGAGGAAAATGGGGACTTGGGAGCACAAGGCCATGAGCATTTCTCTGAAAGGACCAGAGAGAGAATAACACAGCCCCTCAACCACCCCAGAGCAGAAAGCAGATCAGTATCCCGTAACCCAGCCCCATGGTGCCCGTGAAGCCCCACCAACAGCAAGAGGTTTGTTTATTCATTGCTGACTCACAGGCTCACAGTTAAGGTACCAACAATGGGGTTTATTAGGGAAGGAAGTTGGAGAGTGAGGGAGGCAAAATATCACCCAAAATAAGTCCAGGTTTAGTCCAGGAGTCCTAAGGCACATCTCCGTCCAGGCTCTGGTTTCAATTCCACAAACAGCTCTTCCTTCCATCATCAAAGGCAAGAACAGCAACATCCTCTAACAAATGCAGGAAGCCTCAGGTCACACCTTGCCACTGTTTGTCCACAGCGGCGCCAGTCTCCCCCCCACCAGAGGCTCACTCTCACTAGAGTCTTGCGACCACAAGTCTTTCTCGCCTCAAGTCTTGCTGCCCAGTATGAGAACCACTCTTTTTTAAAAAAAAAAATTATTTTTTTCGTGTGGACCTTCAAATTGGATCTGACTGGTACAGGAGGAGATTGTCCCTCCTCCAGCAGAGCATCTGATGGATTCGAACTGCACCTCTGGGATTGCAGTGCAGCTTCTTGCCACTAGGCCACCAGAGTGTGCCAAGAACCACTCTTTTTTTTAACTTAATTTTATTAAACATTTACAGAGATTTTGGATTTCCATTCATTCGTTTGTTGCATTTTTCTCCCTGCCCACCCCTCCCCTCTAGTTTGCTCTTCTCTTTGAAAAGTAAAAGAAAAATTCCTTCATTGGTATACAATTCATCCCCCAGCCCCCACCTCGAGTACACTGTACTATGCAACCTTCATTCTGAACTCTTGTCATAACCATAATACCCAATCAAATATCCCTTTTAAACAGTTCTCTCCCTCATCTGTTTCAATGCAGTATACATAATTTACCACATCTTTCTCAGTCTCCCCCAGCCTCGATGTCAGTCCTGTTTTACAACAGTGGCACTATGCAGTATTTGTTCTTTTGTGACTGAAATATTTTACTCAGTGTAATGTTCTCCAGGGTCACCCTTTTTGAATAATATTTCATGAGCTCCTTGTTTTTTAATGCAGCGTAGTATTCCCTTGTGAAAATATCAAAGCTGCTCAATCCATTCATTTGTTGATGGGCACTTAGGTTGTTTCCAACTCTTTGCTATTGTGAACAAAGCCACAATAAACATGGATATGGAGAACCACTCTTTATTTTGCTGCTTCAGTTGTTGATGATTAGTAAGAACATGCTGACCTGTATCTGCAGTTAAGGTGGCTGGAGACCAGAGGGGCTAACTAATGGTTAAAATAAAAAATCAGCTTTCAGGCTACCACCACACAGATACCAACCTTTTGGCTAACATCCCAGGAGTGTGATCTTTCGACTGACAGCACAGTATCCTCTGGGCTAGACCACCAGAGCTCCAGTGTTTACACTCCATAAATTCAAACCAAACTCACAGTTTGACAGGGTAGAACTGCTCTTTCGGGATCCTTCAGGTGTGGGAAGCTGAATATAAAATTTAATGTTAATAATAAACCAAATGCTATATGAGGATATAAGGGAGGCATAATACAAACTGGAATTCACCCTGAGGGACTAAGGTATTCCTTAAGAGTCAACCTCGAGCAGCTTCGTTAGGCTGGGGAAGGAGAAAAGTACCTGGAGTTCTTTCAGGCTGTTGGAAGGTCAGTGTAAGAATGGAATTGCCACACATTCCCTGGAGTAAGGAGGTGAGAGTGAATGACACCAAAACACTTCTTGGGGTCACCACTGCTGCTTCTTAACCAGATTAAGTGTTTGGAGGCCCCTTGCCTAACCTGTAGCGCAAGTCTGGCAGGAAAAGGATTTATTAAAAAAGAAATAATAGGTACATACTCAACATGTAAAATTCTTGTGAAGAAAATGAAAGAATGCCACAAAACATGCCTCAGGCTGGAGAAGACCAGCCTTCAAATGATGTACCTCAGGAGGCAGGAGGAGGTTCTCAGCCTTCTGCAGAAGGTATAAGCTAGGAGCCACCAGAAGACCTTAGATGAGAGCTGGTTCAGCCTGACCAGACCTTTAAAGAGGACACTCCTGTTAGGCATTTAGACCCTGAAGAAATAATAAGGGAAATATGAGTTGGAAAGGCTTAGGGAAGAGATAAGAAGAGTAAGAAACAAGTTTGTGATGATGCATTTGAAGCAAAGACATTCCCGCAGCCGTCCTTACCCTGTATGCTTTAGTCTTGAGCCCTTCAGTCATCAGGATTGCTGGCCCCCTGTCTTTACTCTCTTATCTCATTCTTGGTTGTCTGTCTCATTATTACTTTACCCTCGGTCTGCAACATTCAGAGGAATAGACAACCTCATCTTCCTCTTGCCGAGCAACTGGTGTGAGTCTTTACAAGATGATCTGTGAATTCCTGGTAGGGAGACTTAGTGAACACCGTCTCTTTCCAGAGACCTGGGGTCAAATAGCTGTAGGTCTTTGAGATGGCATCAAAGGTGGCCTTGGCGAAGTTGCCCAGGGTAGCTGTGCAGCCCCTGGCTGAGGTGTAGCAGTCATCAATTCCAGCCATCAACAGCTTCTTGGGCACAGGGGCCAAGATGATTCCAGTGCCTTGGGGTGAAGGGATCAGATGTACTAACACAGAGCTACAGCGCCCAGTCACCTTGCAGGGAACGGCGTGAGGCTTGCCAATCTTGTTCCCCCAGTAACCATGCCTCACAGGGACAATGGAGAGCTTGGCTAGGATGATGGCCCCACGAATGGCAGTAGCCACCTCCTTGGAGCACTTGACATCCAAGCCAACGTGGTCATTATAGTCTCCAATGGCGACAAAGGCCTTGAACCTGGTCAACTGGCCAGCAAGTGTCTACTTCTGCACTGGCATGATTTTCAATACTTCATCCTTGAGGGACACACCCAGGAAGAAGTCAATAATCTCAGACTCCTTGACGGGCAGGGAGAAGAGATGAATCTCCTCCAAGGATTTGATTTTCATGTCTTTGACCAGGTGGCCCAGTTTGGTGATGGGGAGCCACTCCTTGTCCTCGGCTTTGCCTCCTCGAGCTCCGTGGCCCCTCCTATGGCCCCGTCCACGGCCGCGGCCCCGATCCCGCAGACCACTACCGAAGCCTCCATGGAAACAGCCCCAGGCTCCCATCTCAGGGCCCCCAGGGCCTCCAGGCCCACCGGCTGCACCGGCATCATCGTCATTTGGTGTTTTCTCAGAGAAGAAGCAGCTAAAATGGTTACTTTTAATGTAAAATGTTTATATGGCTTTTCAACCCAATTGAAAAAGGAAAGATTTGAAAGGACCCATCGACACAGGGGAGATAAGATTAGCATAAGAACAAGCTCATGGAAAGGTGTTCAATACCAGTAGCCAGTTCACTAAACCAGGAAAGTGCACCTGTTGCCATGGAGTTGTTCTGACTCAACCATCCTCTAGAACGGAGCACAGCAGCCCAGTAGTGATGGAAGCTGACTGCCACAGCGTTTCCCCAAAGAGCTCTATGTGGGTTTGA